CGGGTTACGTTCGGTTTGCGTTTGTGTTTATATTGTATTGAAAAATGTACAAAAAATTATATTAGTATATACCTAAGTATAATCAGAAATAATAAATTATTTATTTAATATTTTGTAGTTGTGAATTATGAATGATTCCGCTTATACTCGTATAGTTTTCGAGGTCACGCTCATCGTGTAATGTAGATACAATATTTTCCATATCTTGCTACTTATTGATATTTTTATTTTTGCGGTTCTTTATCTTTTTACCTTACCTTTTCCGACAGTAAATTGATTTTTTTTTCGTTTAAGGTATTGGCTCTGTTTTTAAAATCTCGACAAATTATGTGCAGCTAATAAAATATTAATGCCAATTCCCAGAGTGCCAACCTTCAATAATGTTATTGATTTTCGGTAAATCAGCAAGTCTAGTAGAAGCACAGTGATTACAAAATTTAAAATTAAAGCATTAAACCTATGTGGCTGACATGGAGTTAATATATAAATATATAACGATGGTCTTACGATATCTTAAAAGCACCCCGTTAATGGAAACGATAGTTCAATATAAAGTCATAGTAATGGGGTTTTGGGCAAAATCGATCAACACTGATAAATGCTTGGAAATTATATTTTCCGATTAAAGGCAAATATGTGCACAACGAGAACAATTTAATGTATAAATTATCACATATCGTCACCGTTTCAAATTATTTTCATGCATAATGAAATGTCCTATATTGTGAAGAAGTTTATTTTTTTTTTTTATTAATTATTTTAGCCAAATAAATTAGGCACAATTACTTAATTACAATAAATTACATTAATAATAGCTGATACCTGCACCTACTGCAGAGCTATAAGCTCGTATCTGGTATACGAAAAATGGTTGAAAATATTAAATAAATAGTAACCTTATGGTTTTTGATTATTATATTAATATACTTGTACATAGAAGTATATTTGTCAAAACAAAACAAAACATATAAACAAAAACACAGACATAACGTATGAGGCCCCAGTGGCCCCACATTCAAGTGCAGATGTTTGGAGGAAACGTAATTTGACGGCTAAGTAGCTAAAAAAATTTGATTGGGAAATATATGACGGGGAAGTCTACCTACCGGACAAGGAAGTGGCTGACGGAAATGGGATCTGGTGCATGTAGGTATATATATATATTGAGTTGTCATTTCTACATGTTCTGTGTTACTAGGTATTATAAATATCTATTACTTGTAATATAAAACTTAAACTATATCCTAAAATTGCCAAATGGCGATTATAAATAAATGAATAAATAATAAAAATATTGTTTTATCCACTTATCGATTGTTCCCCATTAGCTTGTGTAACTCTGAGATGTAAGCTAGGAATATATTAAACTGGGATTCTGTTTGTTGTGTACGTATAATCACTTTTTCCAATAAGTGTATAAAAGCCAGAAGGAATAATGCTCCAAAAGTTGGTTTCGCCGCTCAGTCCTTTACGCGTATATTGATTGAAAATACTACCGAAAACCGCCAAAAACTCCGGTCAGATGGAACATTTTTGTACTATATTTTCAAAAGCTTATAATTCCATCGCTTATTTATTTTTCAACATTGTATTTATACTTTATACTGTTGTCATTAAATAGACGTGATTTAATTTTCAAAAAATATCGACTATAAACAGAAAAACATGTAGAATCTACCTATACATTATACATAATATATTGAAAATGCTATAAAAATTGCTAATACAAATTTCGAAAAACAAAGTTGGCATCATCTGTTTGTTTTAACTTTTTAATCTTTAACATTGGAGGTAGACGAGTGCTCTAATTATAATAATAAGTGGTGATTATATCCTGAACTTGATCAACTTTTTGATGTTCAAAGCCTATTAATTTAATACCTAACAAAATCATATTTAATATATTATAAATCAGAGGTGGCCGACCGGCGGCACACGTGTCTTTTTCGGCACATTTGATGTTATTGAATGGCACATGACAAGCGTCAAATAAAATGACATTATATAATTTTTAAATATTTTTATAATTATATTTTTCTATATAACACAATAATGTATCAAAATAACATTAATAAAGTCAGTTGCTTTATAATGATCACCGTGTTTATTTTTGAGGTACATTTTCAATTTTTTTTTTAATTTGGCACAATATAGAAAAAGGTTGGCCACCCCTGATTTAATATAAATGATATGATTCTTTAATAACTATTTTAGGAAAATCAGCTCAAAAAATGAATGAATGAGCGTTTATTCAGTTTATTTTAAAAGTTTGAATTTGTTATGTTTATTTGTCTCTAAATTATTATTTATATCAAAAATATGTATTATTTTTATATTTGTTTTAATGGAAACCATATAGTTTTTAAGAGTTTTTTAAAGATTTTAATTTTAATACTAAGCTACTTTTATACCTTATAAATTATAATGTAATATTATATTCAATAAAAAATGTTGTTCATAATTTTCTTTTTTTACGAGCACTTAAAAATTTCAGAAAATATCCTAATATTGTATAATATATTATTTTATTCACAGCAAACCGAGGTCCGCTTAAATGTGGTTTTTCGATTATAATGATTTATTATTGCTTTTAAATATTGAGCATGTCATTTGTCATCCTGTCTGTACTTTTTATCAATAATATTTTATACTCTTATATGGTAAGTAAGTTTTATATGATTTCAGTAAGTGCATATACTTCCCTATACTACGCTTAATATAATATAATATTCTTTAAATGTGAAATCGTATACGACCATCATTATAGTTCGTGTGACGATAACACCTAAAATAAAATATAAATTACTATTCATTTTCAAAACACAGTAGGTACCTACGTCGTGTAATACTGTCGATTCAGTTGGTTCACAAACAATTTGTAATCGAGAATTATTTCCGAAAACGTGATTTCCGTGTTTTCCGGCGCAATTTGTACGAATATCGCTTGTATTGGATTAAAACGTATTTATGTTTATGTAATGTATTCTTTGACTGAGTTACTTGTAAGTCGTATTCATCGTGTGCTTTTATGCGCGCTGTCGAAAAACCGTAATAGGTTTATAGGTGGTATCGTTGAATTATTCAAAAATCTCATTTTTCTAAGTGTTTTTCATTTCGGACCCCACGGAGGAATTATAATAATATTAATATTGCGTACGTATACCTACACGATACACGAGTATTCTTAAACACGTAAGCTATAAATTAAGTTATTTTTTTTTTTATTATTTATCAATGTTACTAGAAAAATAACAACCTCATTGTGTCAACTTGATCGCGATATTGCGTTATTCTGCAACAGTTGATCTGTTATGAAATCAAAACAAGACGATTTTACGCTCATAGTATAGGTATATACCTACAACCCGCAATAATTTTTTAATTTTTTTTTTCATAATAATTTGCTGTATTGCAGCCAGCCGTGCTTATTATTGCTACCTATACTTTAGTATAACTTTCGTTTTGTTTTTTTTAGCAAAAAACAAATAAACAGCTATATTCACATATATTATCGGTAGGTACATTTAGCTTATATATAGACGGTGTAAAATGTTTTGAAAAAAAAATGTGTGTTTCGCATACATTGCGCGCGTACACCGGCGGAATAAAACAAACATTTAAATCGTTATTATACACGTCGTATTATAGTGGTGTAGTGATGACGTACGTATAGTAAAGACCATATCTACAATGTAGATTCTACATTATAATAATATATACATTACACCGCAAAGATCGTACACGATGCCGATCGTCGTCTTTTGATACGAGTACTACGACAAATGATTTTCTACGTACTATTATTGGTATATTTTATTATACCGACGCACATAATATTATTATTATATAGTTCACGTGCCTCGTTGTTCGTGGGTACTGAAAAAACGTACACATCGAGGTATACGCAAGCTGTGATTTCGAGTCGCTAAACGAACGGGTAGTGTCACGCATATGATATTAATGTATATTTTATAAATGACACAGCTGTTGGTTATAAGCAAGGTCACCCTGCAAATATTACCGCAGCTCATATACGGTGACTTCGGCGCATATAGGTATAATAATGGTAAGGCGTGCAGTGTTTTAAATATTCGGATATACCTACCGGTATTTGGTATATAATTATTATTTGAACACGAACGGCTGCAGGTTGTACGAGAAACGAATTTATCGAGTATAGGTAGAGGTAGGTATATTATAGGTTAGGTAATACCGAACCCTTACGGGAATATTATATAGCTATTTCAGATTAGTGGTTACCGTACAAACGGTACCTTACAGTTGACGGACATCATATTTTTATAGCCTATATATGGGTACTACCAGGATAAGTTTTGAATAACGACATTCTTTGTTGGCGAATACAACCGAAAAAAACTACCAGATCCACTATAAACTGTGTGTAATTCTTAAGGGATGGTCGTAGGGGCAGGATTCCGATTTAAAAGTTGAAGATGCTCAGGTATAAGTCATATTTTTGGTCTCTGAAAAAAATGTGCCCCTTATTATTATTGCTGCCGCAGTCACATATATCATACGTAATAATATATAAATGGATAGGACATGATCCTATCGTCCTCGGTACACCTATAGGTACAGCGTTTGAAGTGTCTATACTAGTTACCGTGACTGTTAGGTATATGAAGTTGTGGAAACGGTTTATGATAAATAAAAAAAATTGCCACAATCCGTAACCTGATCAATTTTCAATTGAATTAATTTGAATTGGTAACCAGCGTACTATACATGCTCTTCGATCACGCCCTCGAATATATATATAATATACAACCCATGCATACAATTTCATCTCTGGGGTACACATACGACTGATCTTATAACATATATACATGCGCTTACATAAAATAATATATTATCATAATATTATTCGTATAATTTTTTTGCAACAAAATAATATTATGTATGCGTATACGATTATAACGAGTTTTGACAATGGATTTCTGTTCGTTTACAGGACTCGACTGGTGAACCACGCTTACGGTATGTACTTCAAGGACCAGACTTACTATAGGGTGAGCAACATGGACGGCCGGATCGAGAACGCAGACCACCGACTAACGGACGACATCACTGCGTTCACGACGTCCGTGGCGCACTTGTACTCGCACCTGACCAAGCCGCTGTTCGACTGCGCTCTGATCGCGCTCACCTTGGCCAGGAGCAGCAAGCAGATGGGCGCCGCCGTCGTTCCAGGTGAGTCGATTATACCCACTCCCCCCCCCCATCCACTGATCCGCATTACAGCCGTTTGAACAAATTCCAAAAAAAAAATATCTCGTGCTACGGCTCCATTTGCGATTTAATATAAAAAAAACATAATCGTACGATACAAAGCAACAAACCGTATTTATGTACCGCGTTTAGGTATACGAATACGATGATTGAGCAAGTAATCGAACAGCGAATAACTGTAAAAAAAATTATAACGTGAATAATAAATATAGGTAGGTGTGAAACAACAGGAAAGTAATTTTTGATCAAATACGCTTCGAGAAAAAAAAATGTATAGGTACGTATTAATTTTTTACTTGACCTAGAATATAATAGGACGGACCGATAAGTTATCGACAAAATAACAATCTTATGAATAAAATAATAAAGTACCTAAATATTATAAACTATAATTATTGCCTACAATTAGAGTCAATTGAAAAAATAGTAATGGGCAACCTTCAACTTCGCGTTTAGTATCGGTGTATTATATAATATTTATACCCAGTGCAATTTAAATCTATAAAATACATAATATATTTAGGTATACAATACTAGTTTGTGAAATTCGATAATAGAGGGTCACACTTCTACGGTGTAAACAGTATACCGATATACTATAAAATATAAGTATTATATTATCATTACCTGCACTGATTAAGTATAATTAATCAAAGTTATAATCAACTTTAATAACATATCTACTCGAAAATGTCCTTAAATCCGTATAACACAGTATACGCACTGTCTCTCGCGTTGTATACGAATTACAAAAATCTGATACAATATCCAAGTGCTTGACCTATACCTACGCTGTATCAAACGATATTTCTAACGAATTCTGATTTTGCGAAACAGTCCAATCGAGCATATCGAATATTATAATAGTTGCGATCTCTTCTCACCACGGATTTCAGCAGACGTCATCCGAGCGTGTTCTTTAAACGTAAAGTGTCAGCTATACACAATAATATTATTATGTTTTGTTTTGTTTTATACGATTACGTAACTGTGTGCCAAGTAGGGCTTAGTAGGCATATTATGCTGCAGCGTATAAGGCAACTAGCTGAATTACCCGGCGTTGCCCGGAAAAACTCATTTTAGGTGTAATTCGTTCTGCATAGGTATGGAAGCAAAATCATATTTTAATTTTTAGCCATCTCGCGTGGCGTTGCCCTGAGTAGTGAGTTTCGCTTACGGTAATGCGAACAGTATATTATCAGGTAGGCAATCTGGGGTAGATTGAGGACACATTGAAGGGGGAGATAAAATATATAGGTAGCCTATATTAGTACAGCTTTGTAGTTGATACAAATTTGTATAAGTGTACCTAAAATAGAATTGAAGTCATAGTTGATCATGCCGGATTTTTAGGAGTATTTCATATATATATATATGTATATATATTAATATACTTTGGGGGGTTATTTTATTTATTTTTATGCACAAACCGGCGTAATTGTACCTAGCTTTGTGAAATAATTCGCATATTATATATCTTGCAATCGAAGGCAACCATTAATAAACAAAAAAAAAAGTTTCGATTTCCCCCGTGAATCTTAAGATCCCTGTTTTGCCACCTCTTTAAAAAGCGAATATCAGAAACTCCTTTCTTATTTCGTATCCAGAACAATAGAATTTGTATGTGTATTGGTTTATGTTATCGGTGTGCATTTCATCGTTCATTATAATAAAATAGGAGTATTGCCGAATTGGTGTACGCGTGATGCAAGAGATTATTTTTATCGATAAGCTTCTCGGAACAATTTTATTATTCTTACCTATACTCCGGCCACGAATTAAGATGTATAATATTCATATAATATATCTTAATTCGTGACTCCGGCCCACGAGATTCCATACGTAAACCGCGCATCGATATAGTAATACGTGACGTCTAATTCCCACTATTCGGCAACATGCAGATGCGCAGAGACGGACGCGTTTGGACATATGGACTCTCGTGGGCCGGACTGCGGGCGCGGACTGGTAAAAAAGGGCAAGGGATGCTACAAAATTTAAAGGTCAAATAACGAAAATTGTTAGGGCAAATTTAAAACGTGTACCAACCTAGATAATTTATAAAATATTAATATATTGTATATTGTTTTGAAAAAATATTAAATATTGAATATACGTTAAAACATAAATAAGTACCAAGTTACAACAAACTTTCAATAAAAATTTTACAATATTATAGATCACTAATAATCTTAAGTTGGTAATAACGATCTGCTGTTCATTAGGTATCTAGAGTCTTTAAATATATAATAAATAATATTAATTATGAAATTTATTTTGGGGCAAGGGATGCTGTAGCATCCCAGCCAGTACGCGCCTGGGCCGGAGTATACACGACGACGACGAACAAAAAGGATAGGTTGCAGGTAGCTGGAAACCCGCGGGCCGCAAAATATGTATTGGCGGTGAATAATTATAATTGTTAATTACTCCACTAAAACGCAACATTTTTGAAAATCCTTTCTTATTGCACGGTGAAAATATGAGAAGAACCTCTATTCCAAATTTCAAGTCCTTACGTTGCGTAGTTTTTGAGATACAGCGATCAGTGAGTGAGTGGTATTTGGATTTTATATGTATAGATAACATTCTGCGATAAGTCTCATGCCGCGGTGAAACGCGCAATAAAAACAGTGGCTGGTATCTACCTATGTGATGATAATAATAATAATAAATAAATACGAATAAAAAAAACTTACACGAGTTCTGGTGCACACGCATATGTGTGTGTGTGTGTGTGTGTGTGTGTGTGTGTGTGCGTTGTTCAACAACCACAGACAGACGTGTATAATATTAACCACGTGGGATCCGAGTTTGACATTGTTTTCTTGTGCCTCGGAGTGTGTTGATATTATATGTACCACTAGAAAACCATTTGTCGTTGTGTGTCATTCGAAAAATTTGAAAACAGAATAAACTCGACCTCTGAACCCCAAGGATTCGTCTCAAACTCAATGACCCTGTGTCCGGTGTACTTCGATTATTTCGTGTCGGATCTACAATAATATAATATAATCGTAAACCTCTATAATAAATTACGTCTTACTGTCTGCGTTCGGAAATACCTCTGTAGTTTCCAGTCGATCGACAAAAAAAAAAAAAAAATGTGAACATAAAACAACATTCAATATCATCATTGCCCGCGACCTATATACTGCATGTTACACTATGGTTACCTGATTTTCCGTGTACACACATAATATAGGTATAAGGTACCAATACGATTCGTGGTCGACGGAAGGAAAAAATATTTTATATTTCACATTATTTTTATAAAAATTACGAGTGGTGGTGAGTCATCGTCGTCGTCGTCTGTTTGGGTAATATGTTGTATTTTACTTGGCGAGTTCATTTGAATATCACCACAGAGTGCCACAATAGTGTCGTTTCGTGTTTACATTAAACGTAGTTTATTATAGCACGCCAAAATGATAATATATAAATCGTATATTCAATGTTTTTTTTTTCAACTCTTATCAAACTCTGAATTCCGCCTGACATTCTCTAATGTATTGTACTATTATTATAGTAGGTATTATCTACACATAACCATTATTATTATTATACAAATGATTTAAATGGATATCATGACATTGTGTAAACATAACATTATTCCAAAATAAGTAAAAGAGTAAACGTATATTTTGTCATTTGTTAACATATCAAATAACTAACTGATCTCGCTCACTTCGTTTCCCGTTAAATGTACCAACTCTATATGACTCAAATTTTGTTCAATTCGTTATTTAATATTCGATGAATGGTGTTCAAAATTTATCTTAACTTTTCCGTTGCCTGGAATAAAAATTCTGATTCGCAGCAGTATATTATCAGGTAGGCAATCTATACCTGCGGTAGATCGTGGACCCAGTGCTCTTTGTTCGTAACTTTATAATTTAACTCTAAAGTATCAAACTTATACCAAGTATGTCACTGAACTCGAGTTGGAATCCTAAACGGTTGGACTAATTGTGAATGCCGAGTCTGTCAACCAATATTTCCTCCTCGTCCATGATCCATCGTGATTGTTTTATGTACGTAACTTATATGTGAGTATAATACGCTCAATATTTACGTAATTTATTGTGATACATATTATAATATCAAAACACGGCGTACAAAAAAATCAAATGCATTGAAGGAATACACTGATTTCACGGCAACCAATAATTATTTATTATAATAGTTTTAAAACCCACGGCAACCATTTATAAACAACAATTTCCACCGTAAATCTCTAAATCACCGTTTGAGCACATCCCCTGGTTGTACCTAGGGGAATGATTTGTAGCCTATGTGTTATACTTGTAAAGTTTCATTAAAATCCATTCAGTAGTTTTTACGTGAAAGAGTAACAAAGAAACAAACTTTCGCGTTTATAATATTAGTAGGATGTTATATAATAACAAAAAAAAAACCCACTGACACTTTAAAAGAAACAACTACAAAAGTTCTGATATCAGTCGGAGCTAGATTGTCGTCTTATTATTATTATGAACTATGAATGGTTCGATCCATATTCATCCAGGCGCGGTTCTAGGACTACATTTTCGTATGGGCAACATTAGATTTATAATTAGGTTTTAACTGCGAATAATATTCCTCATTTCCTCCCCATTCCCCAATAAGGGGCACCAGAAATTTTGGTATGGGCAGTTGCCCACCCTGCTAGAACCGCCTATTCATCCTATATAAAGTCGCTTTTTTATTTAGTATGGTTGAGATGCGAAACAAAAGTTTTTAAAGAACGATAAAGTCGTGATAAAACGATCGTCGATCTATCAACAGTCAATAAATATTCGTCTGACAACATGAATAATATTATTGCTCGTACAACATAATATGACTAATAGACAGGTTTCGTAGATTTTAATTAGTGATTAATTAATTTTCGACCGACGACTTCATTGACACGCACATATATTAGAATAAATTAATGCTATTGTTTTTTTTTAGATATC